TCCTACACACTGTGTCTTTAAATTAAAAAAATAATAATAATAATAATAAGGGGAAAAAACAGATTTTTTTTAAGCGCTGCAAGTTAAAATTTCTGTGCTTTGATATTTTGAGTTTGGTAAAATATGTTGAAAGATTGCTACATTTCACAAACTGTCAGTCACCATTGTGTTGTTTTGCTCTGGGGGTCGGGAAGGGATATTGACATTTCTTACTTTTTGCTAATGTTCTACAAACTTGGAAAGAAAATAAAGAACTGCAAAAAATGTCAAATTATGGAGAGAGGGCATCATAAAGACTAAAACCATCAATTTACTTGAATATTTCAGTCACATTTTGCAAACTGTAAGACAATTTGACTCAAACTTCCTCATCTCACCACAAGGTGGCAGAAGAAATGTTTTTAAAAGGGTAAAGTCTGCAAACAATCCTGATGATGTATGTTCCTGTGTGGAAGGGAAACTTTCATCCTAGATGAGAAACGCACTGAAGTCTGCACCCTGAATGTGTTCAATACTCACTGTATCCCATGCCCTGGATGAAATACTTGAAAGCCTCCGTCAGTTTGCCAGGCTGCAGAAAGAAGCACAAAGACAAGATGATCAGTCTTATTGTCGTTAATAATCACTTTGGTTTACGTAACGCTGACACGCTCCCCTCATCCTGCAGCTTACGGAGCAGGATGGGAGATATGACAGCTGCAACGAGCAGGTGCTGCTCAGATTACAACCTCACCACTGTCCTCTTGTTAATGCTCTTACTGCCAGCTTCTTACGTTCTCTTCCCACCCCTCCTCCTCCTCCCACCTGAGTATCTGTGCTAACTGGCCCCGGCTCTGCAAACATTCAAGTCTGTCCCGCAAGCGGATACACACCTGGTCAACTTGGGGCATGCCGCCACAATCTGCCATCTGCAGAGAAAAGAGAAAACAGTAGTTAGGATTTAATCTGGTTCATGCAACCYCTAAAGCTTGTTCCATTTTAGGCCCTTTACAGCAAAACCACTTTTAGTCATTAAATTTTACTTTTGGCTGCTAAAAGATTACCACCGGAGAACAGAAGTAGGTCAGTCGCCATAAAGCGAGCAAGCAGCGTGTGCATGCATGGACACGCTGTGCCATTGCAGCTCCAGTTAATGTGTCACCAAGTAAACGCTGACCTGCTGGAAACTTATCAGCCGAAGCATTTCCACCAAGGCTATTATAATCTGAGCAAGAAAAGAGAGGCGTCTCACCTTCAGCAGGGTGGTTTTGGTTGGGTCCAGTTTGGTGTTGCACTCAACCTGGGAACAAATCAAATGCAAACTTTAAAAAGAAAGAAGCTTAAAATGTTATTATAACTTAAAAAATATTAAAAAAAAAAAAACACTGGAGGAGATTTGTCGCTCCGCCTGAGCTGAAAGTAAAAATGGCTCAACAAATCTCTTGACTTCAGGAGATTACATCTAATCTGAATCACTTGATCTTTGTTCTCAGTGCCATTTTTACACGAGTCCAGTTAAATATTGTCCTGAAGCGACTGGAAAGCATGTTTGGCACAAGTTAGCTAATTAACGGGGGGTGAAAAGTTTAGTCGTTAGCCACGAGGCATTGTTTTATTGCTTCTGTGAACTGAATAAACTCACCACAGCGTCCACAGCAGGAGAATTGTCGCCAACCACCAGCAGAGTAGGACACCTGGACAAAGGAAACAGCACATTCAGTTGAGGATAATAGGCAATAGTTCTGATATTCACAACTGATAATCTGTGGAAAAAAACTATTAACAACAAAATGACCAAATTTGTATTTGCACCATCTGAAAAAAAAAAAAACTCAAATTTTAAACTTTTTATATCAGTTCAGGTCAATGCATATCAACATCAGTTTCACATTACATGGTCATTTACATCAAATTCTTCAGTTAATTAGAAACAAAAATAGCTGTGCCACTTCTGGCGCATCTTAGGACACTTCCAGCAGGATCAGCTTATTTCTAACAGAATAACCAGGTTAAGCAAATGTAAATATTTGACATGACATTTAGTCTGAACTGCTATAAATTGTTGACATTGTTGTTTCAGAATGGGAAAAATCAAGTTGGCAACCATCTTGATTGGCACCATCACTTAACATCCATTTTTGAATGGCATCTTGTCAAAATCAGATAAAATATGTACATTTTTCACAAAAATCCACATTATAAAGCTGAAAGCTGGTGGAACTTACTTGAGAGTTCTGGCATTGATTCCAGGGACAGGCCTCTCGATTTCAAGATCCCGTCGGCTGTTGAATAGTTGTAGCGACACATGTAACTAAATAGATTTTTCTTTTTACTTTTAACTTCTAAATCTGTTGAATTGCCGCCACTACCTTTCATAGGACTTGACAAAGAGGTGCAGGTTGAACTGGTTCATGGTGTTTAAGATGTGGTGGCGGTACGTGGCGATCAAATCGTGGTTGTGGTTGATCTCCTCCTGCGATGAGCAAAAACCACAAAGTGAAACCCACCAACGTGCTCTCAGCTCACGCTCAGCTGCCGCAGCTTGAGTAGCCCAAGCTAAAACATTTGAAGGCGTACCTTTCCAAACAGGTGAGTGATGATCATGTCCGGCATGGCGTGGGCCCAGCCGCTGATCTGAAATTAAACGCGACGTCAMATTTAGTTGCTGATCTGTTTAAAATTTAACWTTTGRTGAGTTCTGCGAGCTAAAACTCTGGACGTTACCTTGTTTGCAGCCCAGTCCATCCATCCTTCAGCACATGGGTTGATGTTGATGAGCATCAGACCCTCTACCATGTTAGGATAGTCCAGCTAAAAAAAAATAATAATCATAAAAACAAGAAAATAACTTATTGTTTTTTAATTTTATACCATGCATCAACTCTTAAACTCAAAGAAAGTGCTCTTGTTTCTACATTTTGAAGAAAATCATATTTTTTTAATAAAACTCTTATGCAAATTGCCAAACTTTTTGCTGCTGCTATTATCGTTTTAATGTCTTTAATTGCAGAGAAAATAAAATCCATTGTCTAGCCTATTAAACTCCACTGTGATCCACATCATCAGCTACAGTGAGGCTGAAAAAAAAAGGAGTTAAAAGTCTTTGTTAACCTTCTGTCAACAAAATGAGACTTCCTACTGAGAACAGTGTTATTGTTGAGCCAATTGTGAACATTCCTCCGGCCTTTATGGCTCAGCAGGACTCAAGCAATAAGCTGATTTCCAAAATAATCAAAAAAAAAAAAGGCAGCAGAAACCCTCATGATCTGGCTCTGCTAATCCAGTGTTAATTAAAACTCGTATTTATGAAGTGTGAACGTGAGCACAACGYGTGGGCTTACGGCGAATCTGGTCAGGACGTAGGCTCCGGCTCCGATGCCCATTCCGATGACGCTCTTCAGCCTGGGGTGCACAAAGTTTCAGGGGGACTGTTAGAACAACGGGTTAGAAATTTCCCCAAATATAACAGTGAGATGTCGGGGTGAAAACTGAAGCTCAATTTACCCAAAATGCTTCAGTACCAAAGGGAACGTCTCAGACAGCTGGTCCATGGAAGGATACTCGTATCTGAGGGGGAAAAAAAACACATTGTTACAAATCTCAGTAATAAAACACCATCTTATCACGAGTTTATGGCTCCCCACTACGATGGTTTCAGTTTTGAAGTGATGTTAAGGCACTAATAAGACGAGCCAAAGTATCACCCTCAAAGCCCAGATTAAGACTGAGATAAACACACGCCCTAGAGGCACATTTGTCTAATTAAGATGCCTTAAATCCATCGAAGGAGCTCCATCAACCTGTTGAGTCAAAGGTCGCAGACTGCCTGACACACATGAAAAGACTTGTGTGGACATGTGCGTCTCACCCGGTAGAGAAGGTGTTGGCTCCTTCGTGTTGYCCCGGGGCGTCGACGTGACACACAGCAAAGTGCTGCATGATTTCCGACATGTCCTCRTGGTTGAAGAGCGTGTCCCAGCAGGTTTTGTCTGGAAAACAGAAAAGYGCATCAAGGATACGCGCTCCAACTGGGACTTCAGATGCTCTTCTTGTAATCGACTTAATATACGATGTTCGGCTCYGTCAGCATAATCTGACGACAGGTGATCAAAACTCCACGGGATTTAGGAACGACAGATGTTTCGCCCAGATAAAGCTGAGTAAGGAAGAGGGCTTACGGTTCAGTCCAATGTCATGGAAGGTAAGGATGACGGGTCTGTCCCCTTTGGGRACCCCCTTCATGGTGCAGCGAAGTCTTCCATGAGGAGTCTCCACATCGTGTTCCTACGGATGCAAGAAAACTATAAATAAAAACTTTAAAAAGCATGAAGTTAGTAAATTTCACCCCCCAATAAGACAGTTTATTAAGTCAAAGAAGATGAGCCACAAAAATATTTGCTAAAACCTCCGTTTTCCTTTTAGCGCCTTCTCAGAAACTCCAATCGCAGAGGTCGCTTAATCCGTAAAACATCCCGTTGGAAACTACGGAGAGCAAATGTAAAGAAATCCTGTGGCGTACTCACGCTGACTTCAATCTCAGCAACAATCATTTCCACATCAGTTTCCTCCAGAACCATGTTTGCAGGCGTCGATCACAGCTTGCTACTGAACACTGTGGCCGAAGCGGCTCCTCGAGCTACAGATCCGACCCTCGCTAAGCCTCTGCGGCTGTTCAGCCCTGYGTTTTTATACTCTAGCTGCTTACCGGTTGGCCTAAGCTCCCCCAGCCTCCCATGGTGCCTTGCAGGCTGGTCAAAACAAGCTAATTCTAGATGACCATATCCTTAAATTGGATCAGCCAAAGTCAGACAGAAGCAGCATCCACTAGTGCACGGACATGAGTATGAATGATCAGTTGAAAACATGCTGAGCGAGGGCAAGATGGCAACCATTATTYAGCAACGTACAGGAATATATTCTCAAAATATACTTACTTTTATGACTCTAAAGAGCTCCACAAAATGTATTGGATCATATTTTTTGTCAAAATAATGCAAAATGATCCAAACATTGTGCTTTACCAAGACTTTGAGGAGTTTCACGTTTCTTTACTGCCTGCAACAAATAAAAGTCTACACGTCCATCTCCTTCTACCATCCACCTCTGCAGGAAGCCCTGAGGCAGCAGTTAAAACTGATGTGTGTGTAATTATACACTAGMATAAAGAGATACATTCACAAAACTCATAGCAAGAAACCCTTTTGTGCCAAGGCATTCAGCGTCGAAACCAGAAAAAAAACGCCACAATATCGTTCACCCTCGCTAATCTGGGGGTCACCAATTATCAGAAGCTTAGCCTCCACAGATTCCTGCCCCGGATCCTTCAAGTGATCCAAACAATGAGTGTCCAGTCAGAGGAACTCAGCGTGGAGGGRTTTCCTTTAGTCTTTGGCGGTCCCTTTTTTTTTTAGCAAGAAGGGAAAGCGAAGAGGCCAAAAAATGTCCCGTCTCTTCATTTACAAAGTATCTCTGTATTGTTATGGGGAAAAAACTTGCATATTTTTTTTATGCTTGAATCTTATTGCTGCACTCCATTAACACTCAAATTTGAATGTAAAAATTAACAGCTCAGATAAAGTCTCAAAATCCAATATGGCCGCCTTGTGACAGCAATCGTGTGTCCCTAATGAATACCGTTAACCTTCAGTAAATAGTTTTACCACAGTCCAGCTAGTAAAAATGAACCTCTTTATACACCAGATTTTTATCCTATTCGGTCTTTTTCAAAGAACCAGTTTGTTTCTCAAACGTCACACTTTACCCCACAGGCCAAACTCACCGAACTACTTCTGTAAAATGAGATTAAAATGATGGCTGCACGATGTTAGGTAAACAGACAACTAAGAYGTTGTTGAATATTGCAATTTCTCAATTTTATCAAACCTTAAACCTCAAACAAGCCATATCTAATTGAAAACATGGATGTCTTTTTCAAAAGGAAACTTACAGGAAACCTAAACATGTCYGTTTTTGGATCATGAGGAAACAGGAGTAACCGGATTTAGGCAAGTCCATTTAAAATACAGCGAAGCCCCGATTTTTTGCAGAACGCGAGCAAGGAACTGAATTTCTAAYGTTTGTGTTACAAAGTTGATAAATTATGTTCCTTTTTGTAGTATTTACTGTAATTCCGGTTTCTGCTAAATTGCAGGGATTACCGCAAACTACTAGTACTTCAGTTCTACGAACACATCTGTGAAAGGTTTGAGCATAAATTTAAAGAACGGTTTGAGTCTATGATTTATTGCAACACTTTGTCATATTGACATAATGAAAGTTATTGCACCYAATTTCTGTGAATACATAACCTGCATCAAAGTCTTTACAACACTTTTATAGGTGTTAATCATTCGTAAAACATTTACAACCTACTTGTAAAACATAAAAAAAATAAAACTCTTAAAAAGGGTAATCATGAGGCACTTTCACAAACAATTCCTTGAAGACCAGTCACTAATGGAACCGGTTAAGCAGGGGGTGCCTTCCAGTGAACTCCCTCAAACCATTTTTAAATGATGAACCCAGTTTAGCAGTCCCTTTTTTAGTTGTTTCCAAATGTTTACTCGTGATCARTCGTCTCCTTGGACTTCAGACACAGCAGCGCCGCTGCATCTGCGCACAAATATTTCACCTTGAAAACTAAGTTGAAAGTGAGCGTCATCGCTTCCAGCAGCTGACCAAATTAGCTGGGCTCCAATTAGATTTATGTCCAAATAAAATCTCAGCAGATGAGGAGTCGTCACAGTGATAGATGAACCTGCAGCTGTGGAAATCAGCGGCCGGGGATTACTGTTCACACTAACCACTAGGTGGCATTAAAAAAAGATGAGTCATGTTTTGTAAAGAAAAAAAAAGGGATCCGGAAACAAATCCTGTCATGCTTGCTTCATGTAACGGACATTAAACCCACAATAATCCGTGTTTTTAACTCTTAAGGTTGTGTTTGTGGAAGTGTACCTTTACAACAAGCTGCTGCACAGCTTCTCTCAGGCCCTGAAAGGAAAGAACAGAATAATGAAGGCACAAACTTAATAACATCACATGATATAATCTAATGTCCTAAGGGCCTCACCCGGTTAATGAACACATTTTCATATTCTTGGAGGTTTTAATCAACAGCACGACTCTGGATCTGCAGCTAAATGATCAGTAACTGAAGACAACTCTGCAAACTGTTTAAACGCAACTTTGAAATGCTGTTTTTTTCCCCTGAGTTAAAACCCCACATTAATATTCAATAAATCAGCATTTTACAGATTCTGCCCTCGTGTATTTATTGTGTAATCTAATGGYGCATCAAACGACACTGAAATCAAACCAAGGGAAACAAGAGAAAAAYACTCAAACTGAAACTATTTTCAAAACACGTATTGGACGCTCCTCGTACATACCGGCAGTTCCTTGTCAACCAACAGGGGTTTGGACTCAACAACCTGGATGTCGTCCATTTCAGCGAGTCTGAGGGGGAGAACACAGATGTTAGGCATAAAAAAACAACTTTTAAGAAAACTGCAGAGATCATTTGCAGAAAAAGAACAATTATATACTGCATAGATTAAATCATTTAAGGAATGGATATAATATATGCTTTGAGATTAACCAAAATAAAAAAATGGAAATTTTGAGCTTCAAACAATAAAAAAATAGACTGCTATAATCCCGTCAGGTTGTAGAGTAAGAGGTGCAACCAGACACAACCTGAGACGTAAAAACACACCAAAACTTGCAGAGACTTGCAGTTGTGACCTGCAGTAACACGAGGATCACACCCTACAACTGTCTACCGTAGAAACAGAATAGATAGGACCCTCAGGCAGATGGCGGACAAAGATGGAGCTTCGACGGGAGTGGGGGGGAGAGAGAGGAAATGTGATCTGACCTCCTCCGACCCCTCTCTGAAACTTGTTTAAAAAGGTAACAATGGCAAACTGAAGCTGGCTGTCAACAGAACTCATAGCTGAACAGGATATTTGTTTTGAGACGAGGGTAGATTTCAGGAAGGAACACTGAAGCAGTGTTTGGCCGCGGAGCAGTTTTAATGAAGAAAAAAAAAAGAGAAGAAGAGGAGAAAACAGAAAAAAAGAAGGAGAGGAGCCAAGCTGTGTAGATCACGCTGCTTTGTCGGGAGAAAAACACGCAGGCAGTGACTGTGCATGCAAATCAAATTATTCAGTTAAGAGGACTCTTTGTCCACCGGCCTGGTCAATCCTGAGAAGCTAAAGGCTTGCCCCCTTTTTTCTCTACAGTGGGGGGTGGGAGGGGGGACACAACTGACCAAGACATCCACACAAACAGGAAGCAAACTGGTTCCCAGCTAAGCATTCCAACTTCTTTTCAGGCTCTGCCACTTTTTTTTTTCCAGCTTTGAAGAATGTGCTAAAAAAAACAGCCACCACAGAAAGTTGGACTTCCAGCACAGCTGAGGGGTTGTGTCACAGCAACCTGCAGTTTAGTGGAGAATAATTACGTTTAGAAACCCGGATGTCTGACAGAACGCGCCCAGGAAACACACACACACACACACACACACACACACACACNACACACACACACACACACACACACACACACACACACTCGTGTGTGACTCGAGGGAAAACAAGCGCCCAGCCCGGCCCGGATCCCACACAGCGGTGGAGGAGGGTCAAACAACAGGTTCGATTGTCTGCGCAGCTCCAAAGCGCGACCACCGCTGCACTGCAGGAGCTTTGTTGGAAGGGGGCAAGACATCGGCCCACGCCGAGATTCCTCGGGTCATGTGAGACAGAAAAGGGACRGTCATGATCAGGCTGAAAGAAAGAAAGCAACTGTTTAGGGCCCGTTTTGGATAATAAAGTGTGAGAAATAATTAGGCCAATAAAACCTGAACTATGTGAGGGTTAAAAGGGGATATTTTAATGTAGAAATCTGTGCAGAGATTCTGAACTATCAATATCTTACCTGCRGTAGATGAATCTTTGGACGGCCTAAACTGAGAAATTGTTTAATTCTAATTGGATTGATAAGTCTAATCAAGCAAATGTCAGTTATGTCCTTGTGACTGTTGGCAGCAAAGGAACAGCATTCAAAATATAAATCCCAAAAAGTTTTGAAATTTTGCAGGGGTCTTCATTTTATTTTATTTTTTTCCCCCTCAAAGTAGTCCTGCAGGTGTTGCACACATCCGGTCTCTTAAAATCTTCTGGATTCTTCGAATTTAGGTTCTTTCTAATTGGTTTTTGTTTATTTCTGCAGGATATTTAGTTAAAAGCATGAAAAGGTGATACAGCCAGCTGCTACCGCTGTGATTTGTGCTTCCGAATAACCGTTTCCCTGCCTGCAAATAATCTGACAATGCAAAACTGACAGCAAGATAAAAGTTTCTTTAGTCAGGATAAACTTTTTCCTCCATGCTGACGCTGCTCAAACAGCTATCTACAACAGGTAAGATAKTCATGACTTTTTCACAGAACCCTGCTTCAAAATATGAGATTTTATTAGAATAAAAACGGAACTATAACTTTCAAAAAAGCGTAGACTTTCTTGTACACTTCACCCTCTCTTAACCCGATGTAAACAGCAGGGTTTGGCTGAGATGTGGGTCACCTGCTGCTTCACACCTACAGAGAGCTGCCCGCTGCGCTGATCGTGTTTCACCTGGCTGAAGGGAGACAAACGGGCAAAAGGTCCAGCTTACTGTCTAAATAAATTGCACAGGTTGCAGTAAACATTAGTTTTTTCCTCGTTTAACTATTTGAACTTTTTTTTTTTGCAGCGTAACTTTATCTCCGTGTGGATCTCCCTGTAACCGTGCACCAATGGAATCATGGGAAAAAAAAAGGTGGCAGCTCTAAAACCGGTTCTGGTAAACATTTCTGATTAGAACGGGCGTAATATTTTTATAGAAGTTTACATAGTTTGAAGACAATAGGAGGAGGAGAGGGAAGAATTTGAGTCTGGCAGAAGTGAAACTGAGTCATGCAATCATGAACAGGAAACAGAAGCAGGATATGAAGAAGTTTGGGATGATCTAAAAATGCAATGCTTCAAAAGAAAGAATGAATAATTTGACATTATGCATTGAAGCTATAACAAAAAACTCATGGATTTATTGCTTCTTATCGAAAAGGGAAGTGCAAGATCTGGACTTTGCAAGTTTTTTTTTTTTTTTTTTGAGAGCCAAAAATCAAGGCCAGCCCCTGATCCTCCTTCATTTCTCCCCACCACTGTCGTCCATCTGCAGAAACAATCACTGCTCCTGTAATCTTTGGGAACTCACTTAATCTGTCAAATCCCTGGTTCTGAAATATCAGCATGGCAGCAGCAGAAGGCCTGCTGCTKTAAGCTGCCAGGGACCTACATTTTCACAACAACAAAAAAAATAGTCTTTTTTTTCCTGCAAATGTCAACATGTTATCAGAGAAATCGAATAAACTGAAAACATGGTTGTTTACAGTAACAGCTGATGCTTACAGAGGCCTCCTGCATCATCACAACTCAGAGATCAAATTAATCTGTGAGGATTTAGATACATGTCAACATTGGCTCAGAATCCTCCCCTCCCTTGCATGAAAAAATGTTGGTTATTTTGAGAAAACAAAATAAATATAACATTTCTCTTATTTTCCCTCTATTTCCACGCCAATCATATTTCTTTGTTTTTAATATTGTGGCTGGGGAAAAGAGAATTTGTGGCAGTTGTTGCTMCCAGAATAAACATTTTACTTTTTTTGTTTATTTTTTGATGTGCACCATGCAAGTATTGCATGATAAAAAAAAAAGCAGCTTTCAGCAACATAGTGCATGATATTGGCCAAAACAATAACAAGCATTAGAATAAATCTATCTAAAAACCAACAAGGTGCACAGCTGTAGAGGATTCTGCAATTTTGATGTTTTTACGCGCAAACAAAAGAACAACGTGCTGCGCGAGAGCAGCACGCTGCTGCAGCAGCCATGAGGAAGTTTCCTGTTTCTCTAATAATAATAATAATTAAAAAAAAAAGAAAACAGTCATTCAGATCAAAAATCCTACCTGTGGCTTCAACTGCCGATTGTCCTGAGTTGAACTTGGGGGAAAAAAAGTCCGGGTGAACTTGTTTTGGTCTGTTTTAATCGGTTTCAAAACTGCAGGAGCGTCGCTGTGTTTATAAGGTGAAGGGGGATGTGTGCGCGTGTGTGTAG